AGCGAGTTCCTCACATTTTTATAAACATCTCATCTACATTTAGACGCCTTTAACATTCATTTCATCACTGAAGAAGGTTATAGTATTTTAGCCGAAACGTCTATTTTAAGAGTTTTAAGTCAGTGACAACAACTTTTAAGATTTTATTACTATGCCTGACTACAACTACAGTATAATTCACCCAGTTTATATAGAAAAAATCATGACCGTGACAGTGTTTGGATATTTGATCTTAATTAGAATATATTTTACATGTACTTCTCCATTTTCTTCTTAGTTCGAGTTTCGATTTAAAATGCATATCAAACATGAAAGACTGTGTTTGATCACATTTCTAAACACCTCAAAAATTCACCAAAAGTACTCTGCTACAGGTTGTAAATGTGGTCAAACATGGTCTTTCATGTTTGACATATTACACAAAGCATTTTGATGATTTACTTATGATTCACTGGAAGAAAAAATTTTCACAGGCCACTAGAAAAGATAAAATGTTTTCTTTACATGCATCTTATATCTCACTACCTGAACCCCAGCTGACTGGGCATGAATTTGCATAGCTTTAACAATGGCCTCTACTCCCCCAGCACCAACAATTGCCGTGCAGTTTGCCGGGTTCCTTAACGCAATGGATCCCAGGGCTGCACAGCCTTGCTCTGCCACCATTGGCTGTTTGGCATGGGTTGTCATGGCAAGGACAATAAGCCCCAGGCCCCCAGCATCAACAATAGAAGTCTTGACATCATCATTTCCAGCTATAGCTCTCAGGAGAGTGCACACCTGCTTGGCAATGTTCTGAAAGTTTTAGAAATACAGGTTTTCTTTAATAGTCAAGCCAGCAGTATTTTCATTTAAATAGAGAGTTTCACATGATGTCACAACAGCCACAACAATAAAATGATAGCCATGCTGGTTTCCACAACCAATCTGTGGTAAGTGAACTCTTTTCTTATGTAAACACCTTCTTTTGTTCCAATATGTTTACACGTCTACTGGCCACGTGAGTGAAAACGCTCTACAAGAATGCTCAAAGAGTTTTAACTGATCAATCTGTGTTCTGGAGGAATTTGCCCTGCTAAAATTTCAAACAGAAGGCATCATTTGTCTGGTACTGCATACATCCTTTAAGTTCATCCACAAAATGGATGGGAAAGAAGGATGTTTCACGGAAATTTGTTCAAAGGCCTGGATTGTAGGTGGAAAATTGCACTTTCACTGGATAGCTCAGTAAAACTTAAGATACAACTTCTGCTATTTTACATTTTTTAAGGCAATTACTGAAATAAATTTGCAACTGAAAATGATTACAAATACATGTATGTGTACAACTCTAAACCTGACCTGTTATCCTGCAGGGGTGCAAACACAATTTGAGAAGCTTCTACTAAAAGCATACCTACATGTAATTTAAGATCACAGTGCACAAACCATACCCTAATTTAAAACCAAAACGTCTTGAAAACCATACCCTTTGACTCTGCACATACCTATATAACCCATAAAAGGGAGTACACCACCACCCGGGGCCTGTTGGTGGCCTACTGGTAATGGTTAGTTTAAGAGCACTGGTCCTCCAAATTTTAGCCTACAAGCAGGCTCACATTGGTACACAAGCACGCGGCGTAGCCGAGAGCGCGAAATCCAGCAGCAAAGCAGCAAGACAAGAAAGTGAGCCTGCTCTGATCTCTGCAAATCTTTTATTTCCACCCCGGAAACCGCAGAAAAGAATAAGTCAATTAATTTTCACCGGAAATATGAACTTTGGCAGCTCAGATTTCTCGGGAAAATTGAAAATCTTTTTCATAACAACATGAAGGCGCGACATCCGTTGTTGATAAAGTTCTGCCGAAGAAAAACTGTCAAAGTTTTTGTCTACTAAGGACACACACTTGATTCCAAGTGATCTTGCTTGGGCAATCTGGTCTTTGACAATGCCGCTAAACAGGCAAACGCCTTTGTGTCGTTTCATTGCCTGCTTGCAATCACATGCATTTGTAATAACATACTTTCAAGTGCTTTTTCCTGCTCCCTCTTTAGTTTGAAATTAGAATTAGAATTTAACCAGAAATAGACTGGAACTTTGTTAAAACATCAGTAAAATGTGCACTCAACTCTTCCTCTGACTACAAATGTGGACGACTTGTTTTTTATTGTGCGGTAAATTAACGACTACATGGGGTTTAATCACTTTTCATCAAACATAATAGATTGACAGTTTTCTCGCCTTTCCCGCTTTTCAACCAATGGTATTTCACTTCGCTCAGACGAAGCAGAAATGAAAAAATTACAGAGATCAGGGCAGGCCCACTTTCTTGGTGCCTCTTCACCAGACTCCTTCCTGCCAGATTCGCTTTGCTCTTCGCCACTCATGCACGTGATTCAAAGGTCAGCCTGCTCGCAGGCTATCCAAATTTATGCATAAGTTGGGATCACTGAATAATTCGTGTCCTTAGGCCAGACCCAGAGGTATAAATGGGTAAGAAAGAACTGTTAGCACGAAATGATAAAATGTTGGAGTAACCTGTGAGGGACTAGTGTCCCAGCTTTCATACTTGACAGCCTCAGACTATGGTAAAAAAAGTAAAGTCTGCATACAAGCCAAGTGGCCCCTCAGGCCGGAGCTTATCCAGGTTTCCATAGCATGAAGCAGCTGGGAATATTTCTACTAACCCCTGGACAAGGTGCTAGTCCATCGCCGGGTTACCCCCAGCATTGAATTTGCCGGTACCCATTTATATACCTGGGTGGAGAGAGGAACTGTGAGAGCTAAATGTCTTGCCTAAGAACACAACAGTGTCCCTGGCCAGGGCTCAAACCCAGACCGCTTGATCTGGGAACAATCACACTAACTGTGAGGCCAACGCACCTCCACCCAGACTACGGAGACCAAGACAAATGCCAATAGTACTCTGGGATAGTTTCACTCGATTGTCAACTTACCTGATTGGTAGTGTGGTCCTGCAATAGTTTCAGCACCATTTTCAATCCACCAAGATCAACTATATCCTTGCAATACTCATTTCTTACTGCTAAACGGCTCAAGGTTACACACAGCTCACTGGCCATTTCAACATCTTGGCAGGTTCCCATGATGTCCAGAATCACAGCAAATGCATTCCCTGCTACAATCAGCTTGGCATGTTCATGTGCCTTGCCAAAAGCGACACTCATGTCGTCATCAAATGTAAAAACACGCAAAGTCATGCACATTTCTTTAACAATTGATGCTGACCATCTGAAATCCCTTAAAGTAGTAACTAAGAAAGGTAACACATCATTGGCAACAAAAGTCTGACGATTGGACTCACTCTTGATACAAGCGAGTCTTATGGATCTGACAAGTCTCTCAACTAAAATTTCTTCTTTAAGTTCTTTTAAACAGCTTGCCAGAAATTCAATCAGTTTAGCATCAGCAAGATCTCCCTGGCCATGTAAAAATGAGCACAGCGCATCAAGACTGGTAGAAAGATTGTTTTTGTTCTTCATTAAGTAACAATGGTTGCAGCTGGAGAATAGTAAGTTCAAGGCATCTTTGCTTGCAGCAAATTTTCTGTTACTTTCACTTTTGTCACACTCCAGAGAAAGATCCTTCAATCCCTCCAGCAGAGATTTTGTTTCATCATCTTTTAATGATATCCTTATCTTGTCCAAGGCATCTAAATTTAGGACCACAAAAAGTAGCTTAACTATTTGATGTTGAATATACAGAGATCATTTTTAATAACAAAAACTTATCAACCTTTTAACAACACACAGCAACATCCTCTTTGTTACCCCTTATCCTTGAAAATACCTCCTTGATTACATAAATGCCACTTTTACTGTTTCAGTTTGTCATAAAGATGTTTGCCATAGGATGAGGAAAAGGGGACTCCATATGGAGACATGATTTGCTTGGCTAGATTGTTGGACTAAGGTTTTCACATGTCGGTTGATCTCTACCCAACCAGTGCTGGAAGTTACAATTAACTTTTATTACATGGCAGGACCCGTGTTTTGTCAAATTTCCATTTTGGCTGGACATATTACCAATTCAGTCTGACATTAATAATTAAAAAATTTGTGCATACAAATAATCTTATGACTCAATCTTTAGGCATACATAATGTAATAAGTATGCTTATCAAAAATAATGTAATAAGGAGATGTTCAGTTTTATATTTTATGCAATTCTGGAGAGGTTATTTTAATAAAAGCTATGGGTCTGTATGATTTGTGATTTTTAAAAGTTTAAAAGCAAACATGGTCTACAAACAAGATCTTCACAAACAAAAGACAAGTCATTTTGGTGCTCAGTCATGACGTCAAAACAAAATGTAATTTTGTAAATTTGGTCAGAAAATGTCTGATGACCAACTGTTATTTCCAGCACTGATCACAAGACCATCCAAAGGCTTAAAATTTGGGGAGCCTCCAACAGCTTAAATCTTGGGGAGAATTTTTAGTGGAGTAATCAATAACAAAACATATCAGAATTTTTGTTCTGTTTTATAAAATTCCCTTTCTAAAACCTGTTAAAGGCTGTCGGCAGTCTAATTCCACAGTTTTAGTTGGAGAGCAACCAGCGGATATTTTTGATAAATGTGAAACCAACATTGACTTAAAGTGCATATGACATGAAAAATAATTTCTGCTCATTTGAAAGGCCATTCAAAATACAGAAGAATGGTGTTTTTCTTTTTGGAATATCTTTTTCCATTTCAGAGATATTAACATTTTTCTATTATGCAAACTAGATCAGTGACGATGTCATATTGTTTGCAACTAAAAAGTGGTAAAATACTAAATAAACGATATCTTTGGAAATATTGAAGCAGTGCAGTGTTCTTGAAACTTGGCACCACAAATGTGCATCACAAAAGAAACAAAATGACATCCTTAATGCTGTTGCCATGACAACAGTTTTGCTGCTGGTGTTGTCTTAATAAAAACTGAAATTACGAGTTTTTGACTTAAACCAAGAACCATCTACCCCACCCAATCTAATGATGGGAGTTAAGACAGTATGGGAACTATGTCTGTTCCAAGTAGGACCCTTTGTCTCACTTTAGAGGTTGTAAATGGGGATATTTGGTTTTTTGACAGAAAGAGACTGAAGCCGAAAAAGTTGCTATGGCAACAGCACAAAGGGTGTCATTTTGTTTCTTTTGTGATGCACATTTTTGGAACTGGCCAATCAAATCATGTGTATTCAGAGACACCTTTTCCTCATACTGAGGCCCCACTGGCTAAGATACAGGAGACTCTAGGGATGAGAATGTTTTCAAACATGTTGTGCCCTTGTCTTGTCCCAAGCTCTCCTTGTCTTAAACCCTGTATATTGCCTTCAGGATTTTTAAGAGAAAAACAGTCTGCAAAGGGTCCATTTTTGCCCAACTAAGTAGCTTTTTGCAGGCCCAATTTTTGGACCTGAAAAGAGACAGATCCAGTTCCCCTGTTTTAATTGGAACCAGCTGCACAAATAAGGCAGCTGGTTCCAACAGACCACTCCCAAATCAACCTGGTCTTTTGTGTATTCTTGTGCCTAAAAACAGATCTGGTCTGCTCTTATCTAAGACCATAACCATTTGAAACCAGTCCAGTGTGTACATACAGTGTGTCTCTGGGCAGTGATAAAATATCCGCCTTCACCGGTTTCCATGGCACTTACATGCAGGAAAGAGAACAGGAGTTTGAATGTAGCTGACATCCCTTATCCATACCCCTCTGAGTTGGTAAAAAAATGTAAATTTACAGTGGTCATGCACTTAGCTGTACAAGCATTAAGCTTAGCTACAATTGAGGACAAAAGTCCTTGGGACACTTATTTAATTTAACGAATTGTATGTGTTTTACTACTGAAGTTTGAAAAAAACGCTGCTTTNATTTGTGATTTTTAAAAGTTTAAAAGCAAACATGGTCTACAAACAAGATCTTCACAAACAAAAGACAAGTCATTTTGGTGCTCAGTCATGACGTCAAAACAAAATGTAATTTTGTAAATTTGGTCAGAAAATGTCTGATGACCAACTGTTATTTCCAGCACTGATCACAAGACCATCCAAAGGCTTAAAATTTGGGGAGCCTCCAACAGCTTAAATCTTGGGGAGAATTTTTAGTGGAGTAATCAATAACAAAACATATCAGAATTTTTGTTCTGTTTTATAAAATTCCCTTTCTAAAACCTGTTAAAGGCTGTCGGCACTATAATTCCACAGTTTTAGTTGGAGGGCAACCAGTGGATATTTTTGATAAGGGTCCATTTTTGCCCAACTAAGTAGATTTTGGAGGCCCAATTTTTGGACCTGAAAAGAGACAGATCCAGTTCCCCTGTTGTAATTGGAACCAGCTGCACAAATAAGGCTATGTTCCAACAGACCACTCCCAAATCAACCTGGTCTTTTGTGTATTCTTGTGCCTAAAAACAGATCTGGTCTGCTCTTATCTAAGGCCATAACCATTTGAAACCAGTCCAGTGTGTACATACAGTGTATCTTTGGGCAGTGATAAAATATCTGCCTTCACTGGTTTCCATGGCACTTACATGCAGGAAAGAGAACAGGAGTTTAAATGTAGCTGACATCCCTTACCTACACCCCTCTGAGTTGGCAAAAAAAAATGTAAATTTATAGTGGTCATGCACTTAGCTGTACAAGCACTAAGCTTAGCTACAATTGAGGACAAAAGTCCTTGGGACACTTATTTAATTTAACGAATTGTATGTGTTTTACTACTGAAGTTTGAAAAAAAACGCTGCTTTTCTTTTAAAAATGCATTACTGTTCCCCCTCCCCACCCCACACAATATTGAAAGTCAGAAGAAATTGCAGGAAGTAGTTTTCAACATTGTATGGGGGTTGGGGGGCGAGGTTAGGCAGGTGAAATTGTATTTGCATCTGGCATGTGCGCAAAAGCGCCAAAAGTGCAAATTTGTCCCACGACTTTTGTCCTGGATTGTCTGAATTTCAGTTGAGAATCAAAATGCCACTTTTCAGTGGTTTTTTACATTCTAAATGTGATTTTTCTCAACTCTGTGAATAAATTGTGATACAATGACTATTTCGTGGGTTTATTAACGTTTTTTTGTTTCCCTTTTCAATTTTTCCCCCATGCGAGGTGTAAATCGGAATTTATTCTAACTCAGACTCGCACGTGCAGTATTTGAAAGGATAAGCATGGTTAACGCTGAAGGCAGCAACAGGCATTATAGATCCTGGTGCATATGACAAGAATTTCTGTCGAACAGTGAGCGAAAGTCTTGCTTTTTTTTACGAAAACAGAAGGTTGTCGCCCCAGGAAATCACGCAGAAATTTCAAATCTTGAAGTCATCTGTGGCACGAATATGTGATACATGCAGTCAACAGGCATTGCAAACCATATCATTTCGTCCAAAGAGTGCCAAAACAAATATTAGAAAGTTGTTTCCAGCCATTGGAAGTCATTTCCCTTTATTTGTTTACGAAATAATATAGTGTGACATTTTTTGATGTTATGCACAATGAGCTGGTCACTTTTTATTTGCATAACTCAGCAGTACTCAGCAACAGTACTCACTTTAAAACTTCAAAATCTGGCTCCTTATATCCAAAAGCTCACAATTTAAGACATGTTGAAGTGAACTGTGTTTGGCAATCGATCTTTCTAGACCTTTCTCCCTGGGAAAAACTTAATTTTGAGCTCTGCAAACACGATACTCTCTTTTCATAGTTAAGAATTGTTTTAAAGTCAACTCTTCCACACTGAATCAAGTGAGTACTGTTACATTCATTGCCAACATGCTGTGATGTGACTTTTGTGAAATAATTTCGAAAAAGTACCATTAAATCTTGTGTTGAAAAATATTTTTGCTGGTTTTCTTTGTTGATACTTTGAGGAAATTGAATTAACACTGTCTTTCCTCGCCGCTGAGTACTGTGTGATGTCCAGTGAATGCTGACGTCACTACCTGAAGAGTAATAGCGCCTCAGTGTCTTCGTACCTACTGAAACATGCTGTAATAACCGTTAAGGTGATCACTAAGATGGTCTTATATACCAAATTTGTCATTTAAATACTTGAAGTATCTGCACAACTGTACATTACAATGTAAACAATTTGTTACCTATCCAAGTCAAGTGACGCCGTTATCACTACCATCACATACAAAAGGTTCTATATTATTTGAGATCAACACCTTTCCCAGTGGGTCCAAAACCATTGAAAAATATGGAATAGCCATGTAAAAGCTCTTAGAAATGCCTTTCTAATCTCAGATCTCCACATTCACAGGTCCTAAATGCACGTAGGGCTAAAAAACTTCCTAATTGTGCATTTTTCCATTACAAGTCAAAATCAGACAATCGTGGACAAAAGTCCTTGGGACACTTACTTAAATTAATGAATTGTATGTGTTTTACTACTGAAGTTTGAAAAAAAACGCTGCTTTTCTTTAAAAGTGTGTTACCGTTCCCCCTCCCCACCCCATACAATGTGTGGTTCCAGAAAATATCCATACCCCTCCCACAGAGGGTCAAGGAAATTCCGAGGGGTAGAGGTGTCTGAAAGAAGTAAATTTCCAAAGGGGAGGGGGGCTACTCAAGGAGTTTTCTTTCCAGTGGGTCTGAAATGTGATTGAATGAACGCTACCGTACTTTCCCAATTGATTCAGGTAACCAAACCAACAGAAATGTTCCATCTGTTGAGAAATAAATGTTAGATTCTTTGTCATATATTTTCCATTTTTCTTCCGACGTCGTACGTCTATGACAGACAACAATCCTGAGTATCGTGTTTGTTGGACGTCAAGTTGAACAAAATGCCGACGAAGTGGTACAGCAATACATGAACAATGAAGTTGACGATATTTCATACTTTGAAGGTCGTGCTGTACTTAGCTTAAATGCAGCTCAGATGCTTTTTCCAACATTAATCATGCCATCAATTAAATAGATTCGTACTTTGTGTATTTCGTTTGATACTCGTACAAAATTATTCCCTGTTTCGGACTCGCTGTAAATAGGTTATCACATATTTTCATCGTTATCCGTGTAGTTAATAGTTTGAGCAAAGTCGATTCAAAGCCATTTGTCTTGAACTATATATGTAAACGTGGACAGCGAGGAGCGTTGTAATTGGAGTGGTAGCCGAGATTTCTTTCGGTCATCTATAGACCAACTGAACAATGCATGTTCCACATATGAAATGTACGACAATTCAAAAAACTAAGGCATAAAATGAATTTACTATCATTTACAAACTACAGAGACAAAGCGTATGACTTATTTGATGTATTCCTTTGGTGCAAGAAAAAATAAAGCGACATTTGGGAAACAGCCGTTTTGAAAAAAATGTTGCGTGACGACTTTACTGCCTTTACGACTTTACTTTACTAATTTGATACGATGTTTTGACCATGCATAAATTAAAACTTTGACTCGGTTATTTGAAAGAGCTTTATGTACGTTCCGAGATTCTTATATGAAAACTTCCTTTCATGAAGAAAAAGTCAGCTGCTAAGCCATTTGGGAGTGAAGTGCTTCTAAGTCAGTTGTTTATTACTTTAAACACCGGTTCAAACATTTTAACATGACATGAAGGAACGCACCACATCTGCAGTTTACCGTGAAAAAGTACGTCTTTGTCTATGATGTAACTATAAAAAGCTGCGGCTAAATTTTATGACAAATGAGTTAAGTCTTGTTTTTTATGGATATGGAATTTCCGAGGGGTAGGGGGGGCCCAAGTAGAAAAATCATGGAAATTTCAGGGGCTGGGGGGAGTACTGTGAAGCCCCCTGGAACGGAAAATCCTGGGGTGGGGGGTCAAACTGGAAAAAATCCTCTGTGGGGGAGTATGGATATTTTCTGTATAGGGGGTGGAGGGCGAGGTTACACAGGTGAAGTTGTATTCGCGTCTGGCGTGTGCACAAACGCGCCAGAAGTGCAAATTTGTCCCGAGACTTTTGTCCTTGATTGTAGTTTACAGGCATGCCACTGAAACAAAGGAAAGGGTGTTTACCTTTACAACTGGGAGATGCCTTATTCTTATAAAATCGTTACAAAAATAGATTGTTGGTTGTCATAGAGGTCAATGCTGCATGAAGTGTAAACATATCCAGTTTCACCTTTCGCCTGCTTCATAAAATCGGATGGCATGGTGATTACCCTTGTTACAAAACAACCACATGTATCATTTTAATGGCCTCACCTTTCACAGGATTGCTGTGTTTTAGTTCTCCTGTGTCCGGATCTTTGACATATGACGTGATCAAGTTCGACATGTCAACGCCTTGAGTCTTGAACTGATCTATAGCGTCTTGGGCCGCCTCGTGTAAATCCATTTCAAATTCTTCCACATTTTCCCGGACAACCGCATCGAAGGTTTCTTGTGAAATCTGCTTGGCTTGTTCCATGGTGTGGTAAGGAACTTTTTCCAACGCAAACGAAGATTTTACAAGAGAGAAAAGAAATCAAACGCCTCAAAGTAAGTTTTGCGCCATTTTCTCCATTACCTTTTCACTTACGACCGCTGACCATACGTACTTCACGTGATTTCACGCGTTATTTCACGCAAGATCACGCGAAGACAAAAACGTGATAACAATCTTTATGGTTCCAGTCTCCGCGCATAAATAATTCATTTCGCAACATTTTTACCATCATTTGAATTGGAGGTTTCACTTTAGACATTCAAATTTCCCAACAGTTGGAAAGGAACTTGTCTTGGAACGCGTTTTTTTTTTCATTTTACCGTTTCCAGTAAGCCAACATCGTAAGCCAGTTAGCATGAAGAACATTGTACTTACGTTTGTCTTTTGTATCTGTTTGTTACGTAGCGTGGTGGCGGGCAACAATTCGACGACAACCACAAATACACCATATTCTTTGACGAGTTTGAAAAGCTCATGGCCAACTGCCACTGCTGCTACAGTCACCACAAAGAGTAACGGAGCATGGACAACTGTCGCACCTTCCACGACACCTGCTACAGTCACCACAAAGAGTAACGGAACATGGACAACTGTCGCACCTACCACGACACCTGCTTTAACCTGTCCACAAAGAAGTACATCTTGCGGTGACTGTGTGGAAGATATCAACTGCTTCTGGTGTGGGGCAGACGATACGTGCAGAAAATACCCAGCAAGCAAGGTCGTTCCTCGTGATTGCAAGGATAATAAGTGGTACTGGAAGCAGTGTGTTGCTGCAGGTAACTTGTTGATACTAGAATTATATATTTCGTTTAGGTTATGATGTACGTAGGAGAAACAATACAAAGTGTATTTGACTCACTTTTGTCTTATGACACTTCGGTGATGACACGTAAGCTTACATATCATTGCGGTCGTATTGAGAAGTACAACTACTTCAAGTCAAAGTAAAGGGTGAGCTAACCATGACATGCTTGAAAAATGTTCACTCACACAGATTATACATGTACATGTATTTAGAGGCTGGTGCACTAACAACATGACCATGCATTATTATATAGCCAGAGAGGACAATGTCAACATAAGCTATATTGTTATGCCTATGTTCATGCTTATGTCTCAGTTGGTTTATGATCATTTTGCCCCATGGTCATTTCGCCCCCAGTCACTTCGCCCCATAATCGAAGTCACTTCGCTCCATGTAAGGAATTAGTGAAATTTGTTGTGAACTTTTCGTTTTGGTATTGGAGTTGGACTGATTTTGAACTTAAGACTTATGTCAGTTCAGATTACTAACTACTGCAGCTTCCAGTCACGTTCGCTTAAATACGCTTGGTAACACTAAATATCATTTCGTTTGATTACCTTCCTCATCACAAATTCTTATATGTTGTAATCCCTCACAATACACTAAATATCACTTCATTCGATTACTTTCCTCAACACGAATTCTTATCCATTGTAATCCCTCAAACACCGTTAATGCATGGGAACTGAACTGTTTGTAATACTCTAGAGCCAATAAACCAGCCAAAATTCGACAACGCAACTCTATTTTAATTCAAGTGACTGACAACGTGTTTCATCCGACCGAACTACTGGAAAACTACTGGAGGAGCGGTTACGCAGCTCACAACATTCTACACTCCCCCACTAAGCTATGAAAACTAGTACAATAAATCAACGACAAAACTTAGCTTGCAGTTCTTAAGTGTCTCTCTCCTAATAACCTAAAAGGTCACTTAATGACAAAATCAGCCAAGTATCGAGGGGCGTGTCTGTTCCTAGTAGGGTAACGCTTCTCTGGAATGCTTTGGGTAGTTGATTGCACAGGAACAGCTGGCTCCCTTGGGGTTTCTTCCCACTGCAATTCTGGCTGTTCAGCTGCCGGCGATGCTGGAATTGGGTCTGCTTGACCCTCTTGATCAGCAATAGGTGTTTGGGGAATGCGGGATCACTGTATAAGGTGGCCTTGGTGACGTCTCAAGTGTCAGCCATCTCCTCTCAGCCAGTCCGTTAGACGATGGGTGGTAGGGTGCTGTTCTGATGTGACGGATCCCGTCCTGTTTGAGGAAATCTCCAAACTCTTTGCTCGCGAAGGTGCTGCCATTGTCTGTGACGACAATTTCTGGTAGGCCGTGTGTCGCGAAAGCGATTCTCAATTTCTCAATGGTAGCACTTGAAGTTGATGTATTCATTGGAAATGCCTCCATCCACTTGGAGTGGGCATCCATCACAATAAGAAACATTTTTCTAAGGAATGGACCCACATAGTCTAGGTGGAGTCAAACCCAGGGTTTATGAGGCCATTCCCAGGGATGTAGAGGGGCTTCTGGTGGTGACTTCCTGTTTTCCTGGCAGGGACTGCACTGATGCACCTTCTGCTCTAAGTCTGCATCCATTTTTGGCCACCACACATAACTTCTCGCCAACGCCTTCATACGGCAAATTCCAGGGTGTGTCTCGTGTAACTCTNTTTTAGAAAGCTAACTAATCTCTACTGTGCACTAATTGAGAGTCTTTCTTTAACAAAAAGTATACTGTACAAACTACTGGGTTGCTCTGAGTAATGAATGAATGAAGAAGAAATATTGTTTTAGTTGAAAGCAGGCTTTTGGCTAGAATTTGAAAAGCAGGCATGCAAAGATTGACCCTGCCCCAAAAGACTGAGGTATGCTTCTCCAGAAAATTGGCAACATTTAAGGGTGGACACTGTAGCATGTAATTTTCTGGCAATTTGGGTGAAAATAAATTTAAAGAGACCTAATTTGCCGAAAAAATACTACTAACTTTTAGCAAGCATTTGGACAATCCAGGATGTAAAGAAAATTGAGGCCCACAAGATACCCCAACACCCATCTAGCTAAAAGCCTAGTTACAAGGTAATTCTCAACTAATCATTACAGCGGAGAAATGACAGAAAACCTGAAAAAAATGATTATAATTACAATAATTATTCAAAAATTATTTATTTGTATATATTATATCAATCAATTTTAATGTCTGCAAGGTAATATGAAGCCATGAATTTTGATTACTAGCTATTTGTTATCTTCAGTATGATAAAGGTTCAGCCATTTTCCACTGCTAAAACTTGTAGAAGCTAGGTTCCAGCCCAGAGCATGTAAAAGGTGACGATAGGTACAAAAAGCTGTGTTATTTCCAAAGCAACTTTGAAGTAGGCTTAACTGTATCGATGGATATGATTTACTATAAGACCTTACAAAAACAATTTTTTGGAATGGTACATTTAGAGCTCTTCTCATTTAATGTGTGTATTGTCAGTAACAGAACCTGAGGAACTGAAAATTAATGTGTATATTTAAAATGATGTGCGCAATTTTAACTAAGAGAAAGATATAACCATCTCGGATCATCTGATGAGCTATATTTTAATTTATGGAGAGTCAGTAATGGGTTAGGGAAGGGATGTGGTTACATTGAATTACAGATTACCATACAAAATTTAATATATTGCCAATACTAAACTGATTGTTATTGTAGTACTTCAAGTCGTGAGTGATAGTCATTTAATTTTGTTTTTTATACAGAAATACATGAACNCTTAACTCTTAATGTATTGTATTACGCTACCTACAAGAAGAGGAAATAAAACAGGAAGATTTAGGAACTGATGCAAGAATTACAAGGAAAAATACTACGCAAAACCCATCTCCCCTATTTCTGCTTAAACCTTACTTTCCTAAGTTCAGCTGTTAACCAAACCCTTCACTGATAATTTACTAACAGGACTGCTGACAAACTGAAATGTTTAGTGTTGCACTGCCACCTATTAAAGGAGCTGTGACAAGGTTAACACTAAATTTTTCAAGTTCATAATTTGTAATCTGTGTTAATCTTCTCCATCCTTAACCATCCTTGTTCCGATTTGGTTTACTGTTATCTCTGGTGTTTTTTCTATCTTACTTAACTGCTATTTTCAGGTTTCCTTCAATGTAAATGTAATTTTGTGGACGGCATAAATAACTACAAACAGTTTATAGCATGACTGAGTTCCTTTTGAGCATGTAGTATGCTTTTCCAGTCTGAGAGATTATATAAGGTGACCAGTGGTTAATGTTTTAAGGTTAATGTTTTCCAGAATATATAAGTGCATAATCAAGAAATCCATGATTTCCTTATCACTGCAGGAAACATTCAATCCAAACATTAACAATATTTCATTTCAAGTAATCTTGTATATCTTCAGAGTAACTATCTATTTTGGTAGAAAATGGAAAATATATTCTTTTCTCAACCAAAAATATCTTTCCTTCTCAACAACTTCTTGCCATTACATTTTAATACTTTTCAAAATATCTCTTATCAATGTCATATTTTCTTGAAAATATCAACAATATGTAGTCATGCAGACATGA